GCGGGAGTGATTCAGCGCTCGGTTGTAGCCCGGTCACACGTGAATGATGTGCTCAGTGCCAGTTTTTATCAAACTTGTCTGAGTGTCGGCTTCGAAATACGGGAATGTCGGAGTTGAACAGCTCGCCAAGAAATTCATACAGACTATTCATTCTTGATGGGTATGAGAGAGTAGATCGCAAATTCCTACGGATGTTATAGCGCAGAAAGTGCTTTCGCTCAACAGGTGTGTTGATATTCCCCAGCAAAACAACATCTATGTTGTACGCTAAACTGTCTTTCCTGTGAGAAAAGTATGTCATCCTTTAACACACTGCCAACGTCACATTCAGTGGCAATCAAGCCCTTATTCTCTTACGTGTCCCCTCTGATCAGAATGTCCAGTGTGAAATGCCTGAGTGTGACTCTATCAAGTGACTTTTGCTAGCCTACTCATAACAAAGCTGTCCGCAATAGGGCTCGACGTCCAGCATTTTATACAATGAAGCTGAGAACAGTTTCTGCTGTCGATAAGGATGATGTTGATAGACCTGAGCACTTACAATATCGAAAAACATGAAATAATAAGGTGAATTGCACTTGTCGCTTGCTAATCGCTACTGAGAACTTCTCGATTTTAATTAGTTTGGCAGCAACCGGGGTCGGACTAGAAGACCACTGATGAAAAAGTCGGCTTTGTTAATATACCATGACGGTCCAAACAACTATTCTCATATAAACCTGAATAATGGTCGATAAGGCTTTCGAAGACGGTAGGGATTTATAAAAATATCCAAGAAAGCAGAGAAGTGATGGGTTGATTGTTTAGCTACTCCATCTGCCCAGAGCGAAGTAGGCAGAAATGATGGCCTCATACAGAAATCTCACCAATGGCGAAAGATATGTATACAATTCTGGAAAGTCTCGATCAGACTCGAATCCTGCACTGTTGGTATCCAATCAAGGCAGTATAATATATACATATCAAATGTACATGACTATTCAAACCTAACTCATCATTGATCGGACGCCGTGAAAACAACAGTTCCGAGTTGACGTTGCGGTTAACCGAAATATAGATGCAAGCCGTTGGATATTAGAAAAAAAACTACAAAACTTGTAAACATAAGACTTTGGAAATACATCAGATATGCGCCTGTAAACCATCCATCGATTGAATTCATTAGCGCAGCCAGCCCAGGCACTAAGATATCCGGACTCCGAGGCCCCGTCCAATGTTGATTTTACACATTGCAACACAATGCTGTAAAACCATCGTTGTTAAATGTCTCGCTTCGATATGACGTCAATTGAAACAGCACAGTTGGGTGGAGAGACGGTGTGCACTAAATTTAGTTGGGGCCACGGAGGGTAGCGCACTACGTGATTCCAATGTATAAATCACCTAGAATGACAGGCTTGCAAAAGGCCCTCAAGAAAGTAGGCAAATGAAGTAATCAATATGGCCATTGGAAAATGCAGCTTCTCCCCATCCCCACAAAGAGCACGCTAATGATAAACCGCCTGTGGATATTTGAGAGTTTTCCGACCAGAATAGAGTAAAGCAAATACACAGGTAAATATCAACCTACCATGAATGCTCTGCATTGAAGCCAACCTGTAAAAAAATAGTGACAGTAGGAAGTGGCACAAAAAAATCGAAGCGAAGCAATGGGCGCTAAATATATGGAATGAACCAGCTGATGGGGAGATGGGTCATTCAGTAGTAGCAGTGTTGGGACAGTTATAACATCACAAGTGCAAAGAATAAACAATGCGCTTCCGATGGAAAGTCTAAGCGAAATCATATTTAACGTCATAATTGCCATGTTTCATAGCATGGTCTCCTGATCGCACAGGCAGGCCGGTGTGTGGTTGCACTT